GCTCCCGGGGGCATCCTGCAGGCCTCTCGCCCAGGCCCTCGGCCCGCCTCTGGAGTGGCGCGGCCTGCTCCGGACGAGGCCTCTTCTCGCGGGGCCCTTCAGGGGGCGCGGGGGACGGCCCCTCTCCCTCCAGCGGCGCGGCTCTGCAGCCGGCTTCCTTCGCTTGCAACGCTGAGTCCCCTCCTTTCGGCCCGGTCGTGGCCACCGAGGCCGCTAACCGTGGAAACAGCCCAACAGAAGCACATCCCCCTAAAGCCGAGCAAAAAACCAGAGATAAAACAAAACGCGGCAAATTAGAACATCAGGAAGGAAGGAGCCCCGAGGGAACGCCAGGGAAGACAAAAAGAGAAGGGAAAGAAAGTCGAGAGCCAGTTTGGCGTAGTGGTGAAGTGCGCGGACTCTAATCGGGGAGAGGCGGGTTTGATTCCCCACTCCTCCTCCACTTGCACCTGGCTGGACGACCTTGGGCAAGCCACAGTTCTCTCAGAGCTGTCCTTGAAAAAAGAGCAGTGTCTACCAGAGCTCTCTCAGCCCCGCCTGCCTCACAGGGTGTCTGTTGTGGGGAGGGGAAGGGAAAGGAGACTGCCAGCCGCTCTGAGACGCTTTGGGGTAGTGAAGGGCCATGGGGTATAAATCCAATCTCTTCTTCTTCTCTTCTTCCTGGCAGGAGAGGGTGAAAGAAAGACCAATTGCCCTGGGAAGGATTCTCAGTAGGAACCGGTGCGGAGATGACCTGGGGGAATGAAGCCGGGCTCTTGTGCCTGGACCTCAGCTGCGGACCCGGGTTCCCGCAAAGAGCGTGCTCCCCCCCACACCCCTCTTGTAGCCCCACCGGCACCCCTTCTCCCTACAAGCCCCCTCCCCCGTGGCCAATACTCCAGCCACGCTAGACAGGCTGGCCTTTCTGAACAAGCCTCCCTCAGACAGGCCAGCCTCTGACTCAGTCCCTGTGGCAGCCACCCAGTCCCAGGCACAGCTCCAAGCAGCAGCCTTGACAAGCCCGGGGGGGCCCCGGGAAGAGAGGATCCTTCTCCCTGGGGATGGACCAGGGAACACCCCACGGCAAGAGGAGCCCTGCCCCCCCCCCAGGCCACAAACCCAGACACATCCCCTGGGTGGGAGAGGCCAGGTTGGGCGCCGGCCACGATATCCAGTACACACAGATGCGCACATCAGCTGCACAAACAACTGCAACTGAACACGTACCAACAGCTCCCACCCAGTAACGTGCAGAGCTCAAAACAGCTGGGGAAAGAACGAGTCCACAATTTAAGAAGAAGAACACAGCGCTGACCCATCGCAACGAATGAGCTCTAAACCCTCTTATCACAGCCTTAATAATGTGCGCAAACTGCAACTGCCATTCCCATCCTGTAACATCTCCAAAAAGGGAGAGAATCCCGACCACCGTTTCAGTAGAATAACTTTGGTTTGCATCAGTAAAGCCGACTTCATTTGAAGAAGCATGAATAAGCATGGCGTCCCCACCCCCTCCGCCTCAACTCTGGAACTTATTTTGCATGTCCGGCCTTTCCTTGGAAAATGTGAAGCAACCAGAAAGAAGCTTCTAAGAGAAACCGCACCCCCCACATATGCTGGATTATGGGGCAGAGTTCCAGAAAGGCAGAAGCCTCCATGGGTCACACAAATGCACGCACGCACACACACTGCTGTGGCACAACCAGGACCTTACAAGGCAAAGAGAGAGGGACATTTGGCCCTTCAAGGAAGGAGGTTAAGCAGCCGTCAAGGAATGGCGAGATGCCCACCCGGTTTTCACTGGGCTTTTCTTAGCCCCTCACCAAATCCCAGCAGAAAACCCCCCAAACCCTGAGGCTGAGGAGCTGCAAGATGCCCTCCTCGGGGTTTCGCAAGGAGGTGCTCCCTCTAGTGCCGGGACCGGGGCTCCCCAGGTCCCAGTTCAGGCCTGGCTCTGGGCAGAGAATGCCTCCCAGCCCTGCAAGGGCACCTGGCTCAGCTGCGCGCCAGCCTGCTCTGTTCCTGGCGGCATCCTCCCACTCTGTCTCGTTTTGTGCCACGACAGGCAGCGCATGTGTTGAAGTGAGAGGCCAAGCAGAGGACAAGGAACATTCCTGGGCAGAGTGTCTTGTCTGTCTGCCTGGTTTTCCTGGTTCTGCTTCTTTGCTCCTTCTGGCTGGGGGAGGGGGAAAGGAAGGGTCTCTGTCCCGCACTGTGCAAAACACCGTCCAAGCTGCGGGCAGACTCTTGCCCTTAATGATTAACTCCACCGTCCCTGGCAGAAGGCGTGTGATGTCTTCCGGCACGCTTGGGTGCACAGTCTTGGGAGGGCCAACAGTCCTGTCCTGAGGGGTGTCCATCCACAGAGCCCCTCCTGTGGAGCAGCACAGCTTCCCCCCCCCCCATCCTGCAAACACCCAGCTGTCCTCTTCATGCTCAGAAACCCGTCCCAATTCTCTGGATGCTGATAAGGTCCCTGTTTGGAGCCATGTGCGGGATACGAGGACGGCTCTGCAGAAGGGATCTCTTCTGCTGCCCTCTCCTGGCAGAGAGGAGGTGAGGATTTCCCATGCATCTGACTGCTGCTCCAAAGACTTGGGATTCAGGAGCCTCTGCCTAGAGATGTAACATTTCCGGAAATTTTGAAGCTCGGAAAAAAAACCCGTTTTTTTCCGGGGGGGAACGGAAATTTTCAGAAAAATTGAAAAAAATGCTGTTACTTTAGGAACATAAAATATGACTATGGATATTTTTACTTGGCATGAAATTATCACAACTAGCATATTAAAAATACAGTGTATCCAAACAATTATTACAAACAGAATGCCCACCCACGTGCAAAAACAAAACTGAAACTTTTATTTTCTTCTGACAATCGCACCTCCTAAAGGAAGAAATGCATCTTGTTCTTGCATTGGAGAGTTCAGTTTGTAACCTGGGACTTGCTTGTCCTCAGTGCACAGAAATTAGATCAATCTGATACCATATATATATATATTAGAAATGATTTGGAAAATATTTGAACACCTTGTCTTAAAATATTTCATTCATCATGTTAAAATAAAACGTTCCATAATCAAAAAAATTTCTTTTCTTTTTTCAATTTTTCCATTTTTTTGGAAAAAACCAAAAAGGCTTCAGGAAAAAAACGGGGAAAAACCGGTTTATTCCCAAATTTTTCCGGGCCTTCGCATCTCTACTTCTGCCACAGTTCCTTGCGCTGTAGACTTGAAGGGACTGCTGCAGCCAATACAAACACAACCTCCCCCCAAAAAAGCCGCTATTGAGGCCAGCCCTACTGTTAGGGAGAT